CCTCGCCGTTAACCACCCAAACTTTCCTTTTCTGCCACTGGTATGTTTATAAAAGAAAAACACCCAAGTCTTATAAGACAAAGTCTCTCCTTTATAGGGAATGGGATAAAAATGACAGGATAGCAATTTGAAAGATAATTGTATTCGAGAGGACTAAGGTTATGGGGACAGGTCTCTTCAAGCATGGAGAAGATGCTTTACAAGGTAAATTTTGCAAAGCTGAGAGAATGAGAGGAGAATTGCTCCCTAATGGGTAGACTACATAAAAACATAAACAAAAACAGCCATTCTGATCAAAATGAAGGTGGGAAAGACTTTTTTTTCTATAGACCTACCAGAAATGATACTTCAAGAGAAAGTAAGAGGAACATATCTCCCAAATTTGTATGTATGAGAATACAATGGGAACTTAAGATAAAGACCATTTGTGGTTACATGAGCTATTGATTTATTTAAAATGAAAGGACATTGAATGGAAAGTTGTGGAAGTTTGAATATTTTGTTTGATATATATATAAACTCTACTTCATATGCTTTAGATGGTGTTTTTTTGTTATTTCCCAGGAATCTTTAATTACATTGTTATATGTATATAGGCTAAAGAAAAAAATGAACTATGGCTTAAGTAAGAAAAGTACATAGTAATGGGAAGAGGGACTGCCTCTGACATAATCTGATTGGCCTGGTCTTTGATCACCTCCCCCTGAGGGGGGAGCAGCCTTACCAGGCCACAGAAGATGAAAATGTAGCCACTTCTGATGAGAACTGATAGTCTAAGATCAGAAAGAAGGAGAGGAAGGCCTCCCCTATCAGTGGACTTGGGGAGGGGAATGCATGCAGAAAGGAGAGGAAGGGTGGGACTAGGAGGGGAGGAGGGAGGGGCTTATGGGGGTACAAAATGAATAAAGTGTAATTAATAATAATAATAATAATAATAATAATAATATTTTAAAAAAGAAAAGTACTCCAGCCCAAACCAACTAGTACTATAGTGTCTCTGCTTGAAAATGAAAAAAAAAAAAAATCAATTCTAAACTTAGACTATAGTTCAAATCCTAACACCATTTATGGTGCTAATCATAGTTATACTTGATGTAAAATGATTTGGCTCATCTTTGCCAACATTCATCATCTGTACAATAAATACAGAAAAAAAAATTCCCTACCTGAAAAAAAGAAAACAAGGAACTGGGGGAAGAAGTTGATGAAATAAGTAAATTTTACAATGACAGAATGTCAGAGAATTCTGGCTGCTTACCTCACCACAGCTTTTCTTACCACATATGTAGGTAGACCACACCTTTCAGACTCCTACATACATGCAAATTAAACATACATGAATCTATTTTATTCAATGTATGTAAGCAAAAGTGATCTGAACCACCTGCCAGCTTGGGCAATTAAAACCCAGAGTCTTTGTCCTAAAAATTCCATGGGAAAAAGCATGGTTTCACCACAGGATGCATAAAGGGTGGTCTCTGACTCACATCTTTCAAAATCGTTGCCAAAATTACCCATATTGGGACATGACACGAATTAGAAGTGTATTTTACATATGAAGCAATATGCTTTTCTGACTCATTTATTAGAGACGTTAAACTAGGCAATCTACTACAGTCAAGTTCTTTGTTTATTGCTTCATGTTTTACACCTAACATGAAACCTAAAAGTTGATATTGTTCCAGCCTGAAAGCTAAGGAAGCTCAGGCTCACAGAAGAGCACTTTCCCACTTTCATGAATCCAAAGACTGTTAGAAGCAGATACGGAATCAGGTGAATCTACTATAAGGTCAAGGACCTTCTCACCCTGCATACAGAACTGCAGTTTGGACAATGTTTGTGCTCTCCCCTTGTTCACTCCTGATCCCCATGATGTTTCTTCTTTAAAACTACACATTTTCACCTGTCTGTTTGCGTCCATAATTAGGATGACTTCTCTCAGGCTCTGCCTCTTACAGCTCACCTCAGACACTTGTCTCATGACAAGCAAACAGCTTAGAGGAGATAGATTCCTAGCACTTTTGCAACTGGCTATTGTGTCGCAGATAATTAATGATAGACACAAATAAAGAGGGAAAGGTAACAGAAATTCCCAAGCTGGCAGTGATCTCTTAATAAGAGAAATGTCCCAGTGGCACAAACAAATCCCCAGAAACCATAAAACGTTACAACTGACTATCATGTTGCTGCTTTCTTGCACTGTGTATCTTACCACAGTACATCAGCAAATGTCTCCAAATTACAACCGTATTTTAGTGATTTAATGCTCAATTTTTTTTCTTCTCATAGGAACTAATAAAAAGAAACTGACGAGAAAAAGATGAAGAAAAAGAAAATACTTTAAGTGCTAAATACTAGAACCTTTGAAAGACTTAAAATGGTGTTTGATGGACCCAAAACAATGGAAACAAAGGACTGTCCTCATCAATGAATAGACACCTGCCCCTGACAACCACATGAAATACATTCATCAGTTCAAATCCTATGAAAGCAAGTCCACAACAAAGTTTAATTTTCTCTGATAAAAGAGAGGTTAAAGCTAATGCATATTGCTTCTGACTTTGAATATAACAAAAGAAACAAGAAAATAAGATAAAGTTGGAGATGTCAGAAAGTTGCATAAGTCAGGATCATAAAGGGGGTGGTTTCAGACAACAAGTTTATTAATTAGGTTATTTTGATCTTTTTTTTTTTAAGACCTATATTGCAGATAACAATAGTCCCGTGGAACTTTTGAAAAGAATTTGCAGCCATAAGGCTGAGGAATTAGAGGAGAAAAGTGCAAAGACATACATACTTCTGAACAAGAAGATGTGGGTAAAATACAGAGATGAGGGGGAAAAAAATCCAACCTCATTTGACAGATTTGTTCTTTAATCACCCTTAATCGGGTGCTTATGCAATGACTACAGAGGAGGTTCTTAACTGCCTTCCAACTGACTTGAAAGCCCTCAGACCAGAGAAAGTACAAGTGGGTTCACATGTTACATATAAGAGATCTGCTTTTGTTGCAATTTCCAGAGGCAGCTCTAACAACAGGTGACTTCTCTTTGAGTTGTAGCCTGTAATTCAAAAGATCTTTCCCAGCTTGCAAGCTACTTAGTGCATTTCACATTGAACCTCATGTTCACGTTGAGACTTGTCAGTATGATCTCTTACACCAAGACAGGGAGTGAGAGTCTCCTGAAACCAGCGTTTTGTTTTCTTTTAACTGAAGGGAGGGTGTGAGTAGAATTTTATAAAGTAGCAAAACTCGTGATCTTAATGAAGTAGGCTTTTGATGCTTAGCAATGTTTTCTACTGCCCACAACCCGCTGGAGACTCCCACACTCTTCTGAATGAAATCGAAATGAAGATACCAAGATCAAACTTATAGAGAAATCTGAGTTTGCTCTTGACCACCCAAGGCGTGCCTGAAGTCTGACATAATGCTCTTTTTTATCTTACTGGGTAAAGACAGAAACACCTGCTCTCTAGCACTGTTTGAAACAGTGCGGTAGGGATCTCCCTGGAAAGTCTACAGCGGCTTGTACTCCTGTGTTAAGGAACAAGAACCACAAACAGCAAAATGCAAAAAACATTAAAAGCACATTCAAAATTATTCTATGTAGGTGTCCAAACAAATCAGTTCTGTTGTGTTTGTTCTTGAAACACCCAGCTCCCATCACCGTAATTTGCTGGAAATGCCTACGCAATTAAAAAAAGAAAAAAGAAGAAAAAAAGGAAAAAAAAAACCCGCTTTTATTCTGAAAAACAAGTCCCGCCCCCTTGTTGATTCCTGCAGGAAAGTAGAAAAAGTTCAGCGAGTGTGGCTCACAGGACCTGTCTTAACAAACAATCCTGCAATGTGTCCCCAAGACCTGGCTTGCCCTTCCTCCATGCGCTCCATACACCCAGAATCATCAAGTCACACTGAGGAACCTGGTCACAACCTCCGCAAACCTTTGCTGTCGGGAACCTAGTGAGGGGTGAGGGAAGGGAGAGGGGCACAACCTACCACCTCCTCTTCCCAGCGCACTAGGCAGCCTCCTTGCAGAAGCCTTGCGGTGGTGCAAAAGGCATCCATGCATCAGGTTCTGCTTGGTTCAAGAGACTGAGGAGCCTACGTCCTCCATGTCCACCTAACCCGTACCTTTCCGTTTTAGTAGAATATATACACTAGAGGGGTAAAGAGAGGAAATGAAGCAATGTTTTCGAGAGGTTGGCATTTGCGATACGCCTGATACCCGTCTCTCTCCTGCTCTGGAGAGGAGATGGTGCCTTTGCCTTCCCCAAAGAAACGGAGCACCCTCTCCTCCCCAGAAGTTATTGGAAATTCATGCTCCCCCTACAAACTCCCCAAACCAACACTGGGGAAATCTTGTGCTTTCCACGACAGCAGAGACCTGGCCAACGTGGCTCAGCGCGGAGCAATCACTGTGCTTTGCAGGGAGCCTGGCACAGTGTGGGTGTTCCAAAATATCAACATCTCAAAAGGGCTCTCTCTTTCCCGAGTCCCAGTCTACTACCGCTGATGTCCAAGTCCCTTCAAATTCCAGCCCAAGTTCACCTGCTCCTACCCTGTACTGCACCTGAGAGGGTATGGGAACCCTGGCACCCGCAGCAGAAAGAAACCCCAAGCAAGAATGCGCCCCCACCCCACCCCGTGGAAAGGCGCACAGCTGACCCAGCTGGAAGCGCTGATTTTAAGGGCTCTGGATGCATTTTCGGCTATAGGCTCCTCGTTTGGTGGATGTCTTGCAGCGCAACAAACTTCTCTTCACAGTAATAAAGGAGAAAAAGGGTCGCCTTGAGGTGACAGTGGCGTCCGGGGTTAGGGGTGGACTGCCACTTGCCAGGTGGAGTTCGCTCAGCTCCTCACAGCCCCTTGTCAGCCCTGCAGGAGTGACAACCCTGGGTACACCCCTGTCCATTCCCAGCCCTTAAGGACCGCGCTCTTTCCTCCCAAGCCGCGAACCAGAGTGCAGGGGACAGTGCGCTCCCAAGCCTGGCTGACTTACCCGAGGCGCCCCAGAACAGCGCTTAGCAGAACGGCGCTTGCTATCCGGCCAGCGTCCGAGGGTCCCGGCGGAGTGGCAAAAGCTCCGTACTTGCGACCAATCCTGGTTATGAACCTAGTGCTCTGTGGCTGCTGAGCGCTCCCCTCCCTCCCCGCGTCTGTGGCAGCTCTCAAAACCCGGCTCGCCGGAGTTCAGGCAGCAGCCGGCTTCTTTGCAGCCAGCTGGGGAAGACTTACAGGGAGGGGACGAGGCGAGGAGAGGGCGGGGGCGCACTCAGTGGAGCTGGGCATGCTCAGTGCGCCACCGGAGGTAGAGCACCCCTAGGCGTAGCACCTGCACCGCCCTGCCCTGGGGAGGCGACCCCGAGTAGCTACGCGGGACGCTGGCAAAGAGCATTGCGGGACATGACTGGTAACTAGGGAGGGATGGAAAAGGGTGTGTTTGTGCAGGGGTACAAGGAGAGAATGGCCTCTTCCTTTGCCACCTGAGTATTAGGGAACCAGGAGGCTCGACCTGCCTCTGTTATCCTGCACGCTCGGAATCAGGAGGATCTTAAGGTGGCCTGGTCGGGGATAACCACATCAGGGCTGAGAATTGCTGCGCATGGGTTTGGGGTGAGCGGTGGTACTGAATTTGGGATGTGGAAAGAGGTAGCTTTGGAAGCGGTTTTACTTGTTCGCTCGTAAGCCAAGAACGCTGGACAGACAACGTCGAGGACCGGACCTGGTGTCTTAACCAGTGCAACGTACTTTGAAGCAGGAATGCGCGTGGAGAGGGGTCTGGGAAGGAAGCGGAAACACTTGCCATAAATAGGGACAAGGATCAATTTGTGGTGTGGGGGATATACTAAAAACCTGGTTATTCAAAAGCGGATGCAGTAGATAATGACAGTGCTGTTGCCATTCCACAGGACTGCATGTTTGCTTGCAGAAATGGCTCCCTTCACCCCAATTCCAAATCTCGAGGTAGCCATAGTGACTGGGAAGGAAGTCCGAGACCCTGCGCAAAGCGAATCTGACAGGCAGAGGAGAGTCAACTCACCCAGAATCCACTTCCAGCAACACCAAGAGAGACTTGAGTTTCTCTCCCTTGGCGAAAAAAAAAGCCCTGGGGATTTTACAGAATCCCAGCCTTCCTGTGCACGACTCAGCAGTTCTGAGCTACAAAAACAACTTCTGACCATTTACACAATCATGCAAACTTACAGTGACATCTCCATTATGTGGGAAAGCTGTTAACTGGAAACCTATTTTTAAACTACTGTAGTAAGCAACTCCTCAACTCCTCTAAACACATAGTAGCCTCCTTAGTTGATACAAGTGATTTTGTTTTAAATTTAACCTTCTATCTTTGGTTATTGTTGTTGATTTTTAATGTAATAAGTTCTTAATAAATGAGCAAATCTTAACGAGGGGATAGCTATTACACGTGTTTCATGATCTGTGAAGTTAATGCTGGAGGAGAGCCCCTGTCCCCATTATCTAAGTATTTAAATTTGGAGACAGATTTAAGCCCCTCCCCCTTCTCTCATGTGAAGGGAATTTTACAGAAAAGGAAACTTGGTGATGTAGTTTCCGTGATAAATTACTAAAGATGAATGGTTTCCAGTCACTCTGAATGCACCTGAATTATCCATGATTGCTGATAACTTTCACTGAATTGCTCCTTAAAAATATCTATATTGTCTCTTCTGTATTTTAAAATTTGCTTTTTTTCAACTAGCATACAAAATAAGTGGCTTAATTATAACATTTCATACATGTATTAAGTACCTTGTCTTGCATGTTCTCTCACTGCACTACATTTCCCCACTCATTGTTTCCTTCTTACACACTCTATTTTAGTCAATAGTCACAGGTATACACACGCACACACAAACACTTACGCCACACATATGGATCCATATATATAATTTTTACATATGAAAATCAGCTAAGATTGCAACAATGTCAAAGTTTTGTGAACAGTGTGGGGAAACTCCCTCAACTGTGTCTCTGAATTTCAATCCTAAATATTTGATTTGCTCTCTTACCTATAATTCTTTTTCGTGACTACTGTATGTGCGACACTGTGCCCTAGCATGTGCAAGGAAGCTCAATATGATGATGACTTAGCATCTGCTCAAGAGATGGCTATCCAGTAAGGAAAGCAGTGTATATCTGGAGAGACAGATCTGGGTCGGATTGCTGGGATGTCAGTTAACTGTTAAGCTGAAGAGGGGTCCAGGGTAGTTTTTGCATCAACCTGCATCTAGTTTAAAATAAAAGCAATAATCCAGTCCCGTTTTTCCTTCCTGCAGGGAAGAAGCAAGGCTCCCTCTTGCCAAGAAAGCAAGCTTCTTTCTGAACCTCCCCTGATTGGGAAGTGTTCCTAAGGGAATCAGCTGCTGCCAGGAGATAGAAGTGGCTTTATTTTGAAGACAACATCCTCACACATGTGTCCCCGCATTTCCGGGACCCCTAGCTAAGTGTCAGTTCCCTGCTCAGAGAACCTGTGATTGGGATTCTCTAGAGGGAAATGTTCCAAACGAATCAATTAACACCACCAGCAGAGAGCTCAATACCACTGCACTGAGACCCAGGTTTGTATCAGTGCATGAATGAATTACCGGGGCTCATGTCATTTGCAAATAATTGTCATTATAACACAGTAGAAATTTCCCCCTACCCATTTAGCTTGAGTAGCACCTCAGCAGAGAGTTTCAATAACCCTCATGGACCCTACAAAATATGGGCACATATATGTGCAGTTTAAGCTCCAGATAATTTAATAGGGGAATATCTATTTGCACACAAGGTCACCTCTTACACTCATTAAACCAATCTGAATGAGGTCTGATAACTCTTAAGGGAAATCAGCACTTGAAATGCTTTCGACTTTTTGGAGACAGGGGTGGAATATATCAGCAGGTTTCACTCAGCATGCAACAGCTCTGAAAACTCCAGAAAGGACAGATCTCTCTTCCACCCCACCCTCGCAGTCATTTTTCACACATCTAGGGCTTGTGGTGGGTGTGGATTTAATGTAAGAGGAGAAAAAAGAGAAAGAGAGCTTTATAGAAAAGAATATATTTCTTCTGGCCACATCTGATCTGAGTTAATTTTCTACTGATTCTTCATACAGAGTGGACATTTTTTTTTAATTATAAAGGCCCCTTATTTGTGTTCTAAATGACATGAATAAAGTGATCCAATGCTGAGGAGATAATTCAGTGGGTAAATGTGCTTGTTGCCGAAGCAAGCAGAACTTAATTCAAATTGTCCAAACCGAAAACAAATAAAAATCCTAGGCATGGTCATGTGTCTGTAGCACTTCTTACGGACATTGAAGTGGTTATAGGCAGATATCAGGTACTTGATGGCCAGCAAGGTAACCAGCTTTAGGCTAAATGAGTTACTCTGACCCCAAATATAAGATCAGGAGCAGTAGGGGCAGACTCCTGAAGTCTCCTGGCTTCTATATTTACATTCCCAGGCACATGTACCTGTACACACACACACACACATTGGAAAACAGGCTGATGGAACTCTGGGGCAATTCAGTGAAAAATTACTAGGTTTTATAATTAAGTTGTTTTCCTAATGCATTTGGGGCCTTAATTGATATTCATGTATGAAGCAAAGCTTATATTTTCCCCAGTTTTAAAAAGTAACCTTAAGTATATCACAAGTGAATTAAAGAATGTTTTCACAAAAAAATATGCCAAAAAGGCTTTCTGTTCTGTTTTTATATTTGTTTGTTTGTTTTTGTTTTTTGAGACAGGGTGGTTTCTCTCTGTAATAGCCCTGGCTGGCCTGGACTGTCTTTGTAGACAAGGCTGGCCTCAAACTCACAGAGATGCGCTTGCCTCTGCCTCCTGAGTGCTGGGGTTAGAGGGGTGTGACACCATGCCCGGTACCATGTTCAATTTTTAAAATTCATTGAGGAGAACCCAGAAGTAGACACTAGGTAAAGCCATTTCTGCTCCCTCCTATTTCACTGTTGTGGGTGATTCTTGAACTTCAATCTAAGGACATGGCAATAATAAATGTCCTCAGAGTGGGATAATGGCAATTAGCACACAAAAGTTCAGTTAAATACCATGAAGGTTGTGACACAGACTGACAGAGTGGAAGTAAACTATAAGCCTTCCACCCACAGCCAAGACTCTTTTAAAAAAGGACCATGTGACTCTCATTGAATTTAGGAAAAAAAGTAAAATTGAAATCAGTCACCTGTTCTCCCTCCATTCTTTTTTCCAGATTTTTAATTCCTTTATATAAAATCCAAAAGCAATAACCCTAGCAGTCTATATTTTGAAAAACTATGTATAATTGATTTTCATTGTTCTTGGTGATTATATTCCATAAAACTTCTGTACATATTGAATTTTCCCCAGTAAAAATAGAGAGGCATGTTCCAGAGTCACTCTGCTAACAGGATCATTATTAACTGATCAACACATAATCTTATTTTCTGAAAACTTCTGGTAGATGTTTTGTTTACTATTTGTTATTGCTTTCTGAACACTGAACTTAGGTTTGAAGCACTATAGCCTTTGCCTTACAAAGTTTATTATCCAATGCATGTGTTTTCTGTGTAAAACATATCAGCCTTTTTAGGAACACCAGAAAACACAGTCAGTATAGGGTCATTTTGAACAACAACATTGCCAAAGAACATTCTAAAACAGCTAGCTGTGTTGGGAGAGAGAGAGAATTTCTTGTACTGTGGGCTGAAACTAGAAGGCAAACCATCACCTTGCTTGACCTAGGCCAGGAGTCTGTGCCTTGGGAGACTGAAGCTCTGCTCTCTGTATATCTTAAGCATCCTATATACCTACAAGAATCATCCAGAGTGGTTTAACTATTAACCTCTGGGTTACAGATAACTTTGAACAGGTGAGCAAATTTGCAGTTATGGAATATGCAAATAATAAGGATTAACTGGATCAGGATTCCTTGCTTCAAAGAAGAGGCTAGCCAGCTCACATGAGTTGTGAGCTTACATTCAACTGAATGTATAATCATCTAAAAATATATTATTGTAAAAAATTCTTTCATGTTTTTGTAGTATGTTTTCTGACACCTTTCTCAATTAAATGAATTAATACAATCACAC